AGGGCTTAGTGCCGATTGTCAGCCTGCTCCAAAACTTCGGAGCTACCTGTGGATTAGCACCGTTTCTGCCCATTTACACTTCGATTTATTTATAGTGTCCTTTGACAGTTCATTAGCTGCTACGGTGTCATCCATTCGGGAGCTTGAACGTCACCATAGTGACGTAACGGTAGTGTCGTTTAAACACCCGATCTGTCAAAGGACACTAAATAAATCGAAGTATAACGCCGTGTAAAGAACGCAGTGTTTGTGTGCGTCTCTTATGGAGAAGACGATGCCAATATCAAACTAGCACAGTAATTCACGTTCTTTTCCATAGAGTGCACTAATGATACTTTCTTCGAGCAGACTATCTCTCGCTCAGGATGACCCCGATGCCCTGGTATTTCGTACGTCTTTCCTTGAGTTCCGTACATGAAGAGGCGGCATACGCCCTGGGCAAAAGGGAATCCTTCTTCTTCTTGTACCCTTCTTCGGCGAACTGAGAAGGTTGTGACCTCCTGAGATTACTATAGGCGCTCAGGCTGTTTGAGTAGTATAGTAGTAGAAATATCTTATGATTTTTAATTTGTTTTCAGTTTAATTTTACTATGACCGTGTTTAGCAAGTTATAATGAAGATTAAATTTTGTTGCCCACGTATTTTATTTTAGAGATGATTAATCCAGTTTTTAAACCTCGCATCGTTGTTTAAAACCATAGATGGTGTTTGATCGATGTTTTATTAACATCGATGTGTTACATTAACGACGATTAACATCGGTAATTGGTAGCATCGATGTTTTGTTATCGATGCCGCTTCACTACTGGCATCACCAGTAGAATTCCGTACCGACCGCCATTGGTCGTGATGTTGTTTTGTAGGCAATGATGCAGTGATGATGTTCTTTTGTAGGCAATGTGGAGCATTTCTGTACTCTTGGTTATTGCAGGCACATATCATTTTAACTAGTAATACTCAAACAGCATTACTTTCTCAGATTACTTCTGAATTTGCAATTTTAGAAAATTCATAGGGTTCAACGAAAATAGAGAGCTTTCTTTGTTGCATTCGTAAAAAAATATGGAGGCGGTTTTAGTGAAAAGGGTTATTTTTATAATTTGCAATATCTTCAAGCAGAAATTACGCGAAAACTGCTGCGAAAAAAGCTGAGTAATATTCAGTACGCACCTTCATGGGGCTCCAGCAGCCGAACACACCAATTCACAATTACGGATTTTATACACATTATTACATTTTTAATAATAACTATAAACATTCAATATCTCACGTACACCGTGAGCCAGAACGATTGAGGAATATCAATTTTGGAGAAAATCGGCTGAACAGTTTATGCGTTAACATTGTGAACAGACGGACGGTGAGACGTTTTGTCATCATTTGATTTTTCTGTATGAAGGACACACAAAATTTGGATTCTGACTACACCCCGTGCAAGAGTTTTTTTCTCTCTAAATTTAGCAACTATTAACTATTTCGTTATCAGGGCCCTGTGATAAGTTTTTACGCCAAAAATTCGCCATTTTTACGAGCAGCACTACATAACTTTCTTTCAAATGTATATACGGTTGTAAAAAAGTAAAAAAAAATGAGCTGTTTTTAATTTTGTTTTAAATTGTCTACGTTTCACGCAACATTTTGCAAAACTACTCATATATTTTAAAAATTAAATAGGAATTTCAAGATCTTCATTTGATGAAGAGATTTCATTTAAAAAATGTCTATCTTCAATATTGTAATTATAGAAAGTCGCTGTAAAAATTTTGCAATTTTTAAAAATTTTAGAGTTTAATGAAAACGCAACCAGCACCACTTAGTTACCGTTACATGCGAGAATGTTTTGCAATTTTAAAAAATACAGGGAGTGGAACGAAAACGCAATATACGAAATTTCTTTAAACATCTTTTTCTCTATCAGAGAAATAAATTTAAAAATTTTTTTTTTTAGAAAATTAAAAAAAAAATATTGAGGCTTCATGTAAAGAACCAACAAAAATCAAAATAATGGTTTCTAAATTAAGGGGCATATCAATTTTGGCGAAAATCTTATTTTATGGTTTAGCTGCTAGCGCTTTTCACAGAAGAACAGCCGTTTTTCCGTCAATCGATTTTTCGGAGTCGAGGACGTGAATTCTGACTGCACAACGTTTTAGAGGAAATAATTTACTACAAATAGAAAGAAGATTTATCCACTTTTTTGTTACCAAGTCTCGGCAAGTAGACTTTTTCTGTCGATAAATTGCTATTTTCCCCACAGCATTATAATAGATTCCCTGCACTACGTATGCAGTAGACGAAAAAGTAAAAAAAAAATGTACATTTAAAGTTTGAAACGTTGAAGAACACAACGAAATTAATGGAAACTTAACTTTCATCAAACAATATATTAACATTACTTGAGGGCATTACTTACGAGGAATTTTCCTTGGCAGGTGGTTTTCCGGATCTACTCTTCGAGTGGACCCCACGGTGTCCTCGAGAGAACTGAGCTCTCTAGCTCTAAACAGACACCGTCAGTTTGCTATCGTCGTAGTGCTCCTCCATTATCTTTAATGGTGGACACCGAAATCAAACTGACGGCCAAACAGGAAAAGACAGTTTCCATTTAGAACTTTTAGAGATTAAAAGAAGGAATTTTACCTCCTATACTCTTTCGCTTGAAAGAAAGAGGAAGCTAAGATATTATTGTTGGAAATGAATCGTCGTTTTACGTTGAGCAATGTAAAATTATTTTCGTTATAATTTATTTTTCTGAAAATTCACTGACCTCCTCCAATTAGTTAAATGATACAAATTTGTGGCATCCTTTAGGTAATGATTAAAAGTTGACTAAAGCCTTTCACTGCAGACCTTTACACAAGAGACAGTTTGTATATTTTGCCCTAACACGGTGTGATTGTATTATGAAATCACGAAAAATCTTGTGTCGAAACCGCCAAGCCAGAACTCATTCATGGCGTCGTTCATTCAGTAATATTTTTTTCGAGAGTACAAAAGTAACATTATAAACGAGTTGCATACGCTATTTTTGTATAAAAGTATTATAATGATTTAAAGAAACCAAGTTAATTTGAATGTTAAGCTGTAATCTCGGATTCATGTCCTGCAGGAAAAAAATGAAATACGAGTGGAAACTCGTGTGGTACAATCTACATACATACTGAGGTACATGCGAAACTCAACAGCTCCGCACTATGTGGCCAGAATGGATACTTCTTGATCGTTGTGCCAACTGGCACAGGTGCACAGTACTGAATCAAAGTTTTGGACATCCAATTTAAATAATTCTCCATAATATCTTGTATTCAGCTCTTATTTAAAATGAATGGATCCACAAAGGTACATACTTTTTCGCATTATTTCTAAATTTGCAATTTTCGAAAGTTCAGGGAGTTTAACGATTATTAGACTAGCGTCATTCTTTTAAACATCTTTTCCATCAGTAAAACAAATTAAAGAAAAAATACAATCTAGTTTCTCAAAAACTTGACATGATATTGTAAAGGGATTATTTTTTACAACAAACTTTAAAGCAAAAATTGCTATCTTCAATTTTGTAGTATTGAAATATTTTTTTGAAAAACGGAAAGTCCGCCAAAATTGGGAAAAGTACCATGTTTTTTACCTTCCCTTGATACATATGAGAAGAAATATTAAGGAAAAATTTTTGGAGCGTTTTAGGAGAAAAAAATTGTCTAAAAAATTAAAATTGCCTAGATTTCGCGCAAAATTACACGAAAACTACTCATATTTACGAAAAATTGAACATGACCTTATTTTAAGATCTCTCTTTCAAGAATAGATTTTATTAGGGGAAAAAAATCTTCAATATTGTAGTTATACCAAGACGCCCCAAAAACCTGCACTTTCGGGGATTTTCGAAAAATCAGCAACCTGTACCATTCTTTTAAGTGTCCTTTCCAACATTATCCAAGGGCATACTTTAATCAAAAAATTTGGAGCCATGTGAGAAAATTTTAAAAATGCAGTAGGGGCTTCAAGTGAACTTTACCCCCCAAAAATTATATGTAATTCAAATCTGCAGGGTTTTGGGTTGAACACACTGGTTGTAGAAAAGTCGTTTGGGAAAAATCTTGTATATTGCTTAGAGTTGTTCACCAACATACAGAAGTTTTGAAAAACACTTAATCTCGATATCAAACACTTAGTATCAGAGAAGTTAAAAATGTGTATTTCCATCAGAATTTTAATATCAAGTTCCCACTGCATTATTTAACTTTACTAAGTATATATTATCTATGTTAGAAAGTAATATACCACATACTGGAGAAAGTAAAAATTCAGTAGCACCACCCACTAAGTTTGTTCAATATTTGTTTAAAATATTGTTTGTTATAATATTCTATAAAAACCGAACATGACATCATTTGAAGTGCGAATATTCAAGAATTGATTATATAAGCTTTATTTTCTATAATGGATATGAAGGAGAGAATAAAAAAGTTCAAAATTTGCAATTTTCAAAAATTCACAAGGTTGAATGAAAAGTAGAGTTTTACTGTATTTATAAATGTCCTTTATTCTGTTCAAATAAGAATTTTTAGAGATATTTTGAAGATGTTGAAATTGTAATATGAGCTTCAAATGCCATACTTTTTCAAATTAAAAAAAATCCTTTTGCAGACTCTCTTTGAATCAGACCAATTACATAATTTTTTAAAGTATGGGTATATGCATACAGTTTAGCCATTCGTGTCATTCTTAAGTAGACAGATAGAAAGATGTTTCTGAAAAACTCATATTTTAGTATCAGGAGCCCCCAAAATGTGTTTCAAAGTCTCAATCATTAATTTTTGCAACATTTCAAAAAAATATTATTCTATGTGTATGAGAAGGGATAGATATATTCTGTTAGGGTACAAACTATTCATATATTGAAAAATTTTATCAAATTGTAGTTTATTATTGTAAACAAAAGGCAGACTTAAAAAAAAAATGTTGATCTATATTTGAGATCTACTTAGAAACTATATTGTGAATCAAAAACAAAAGTAATATTCACATTATTAAATTTATTATTAATAAGTTTCCTTAAATTGTATGTTTTTAATTAATTATTGCAGCTTTTGGGTCAATGACCTCTATCCTGATCAGGTTTTTCTTATAGTTCCCTTTGATCCCTTGATCAAAGTTGTTCAAAAGAGTTCCTAATTTTGCTTTTAATAAATGTAGCTTCTCTATCTTCATTTTGCCTTGATCTCGCATTTGAATAGATGTGAAAGGAGTAGGGTTTTAATTATTTCATCAGCAAGACAAAAAATGAAATCTGTAGCTAATTTGCAAATTCAAAGTTTTCTATTGCCAAAGAGCAAAATGTCTTGTTTTCAAAAGTTGCTATCCGCACCCATTGGTATTCTTCAGAATAATTCAACTATGTACGAAAGAAAAGGCAGGGATTATGGAGCTCTAGAAAACTTTCAGATTGTTCTTCTCTTGAAATATTACAAGGAGTTCTCTTTTCTTTCTGTCAGTAAAAGAAAATAACTCTATGGCTACTATGAATTTCATACTCTGCAACTTCATACTATGAATTTATTTAATTCTGACCTCAAAGAATAAATTCACATTTCTTAACTTGTATGTGAATATGCAATATATGTTAAAGTTAATTTAAATCAGAAAACACCAAATGCATTTAGTTTATCTTCTAATATCTTTTTTCCTCACACCTTCAATGATTTTTTGACATGATGTTACATGCATATATTCCTCTTACCTTAAAACACTGTACATTTACATTAATTGTACATGGCATGAAAATAAAAAAGAATATTGAAATTTTAAAAAATACATTCTTTCAGTGTGCTAAATAGTTAGCTCTGTTACAAAGCCTTTCAGAACACCCGTCCCTGACGCAATTTGTCCAGCGAGGCCAATCTCTTATTATTTTCCACAGGTGTTCCCCAGGATTGTTTTCTTTATTCATTACTTGCTTCCTGCCAATTACCTTATAGTTAGGATCCAATTTCTTACTTCTCACACCTTCTTCTAAGAACTTCTGACACACTTCTAATATTTTCTCGGATGGTTGATAATAATTGAAATTACCTTTACAACAAGAAAATTTGTGAGAGAGATTCATGTATTTATCTGAAAAGCACTTATCGAAGTAATGTATATTAAATTTTGACTGCAGTACTTTCTTTTCTATTTACCAATCAACGCAACTCCTATAGATTTATCATTAAGCTGTCCAGAGTGATATCCTGGAGTATCCCAACCTCTTCCTTCGTAAACTCGGCCATCATTCCCAATAAGAAAATTATATGTTATATCATCATGCTTGGGAATGTCTTGCTCCTGAATTTTTCTAATAAGATGAGAACAATCTTCAAACGAGTAGCATCTATCAGTATTACTATCCATTAATACAACAATGCTAGGTGGATTCACACACAGAGGTTGAGCAGTTGTTTTGACAGGTTTTGCTTCCCAAGCACTTCGACTAATGAAATCAATTGATACTAGTGTATTATCTGAAAAGAAAAATGAACAAGTTAGAATGTCCTTTTTATTCAGTATTTTGTAAATATTGTTTTATAAATTCATAAAATAATTCATTGAAACTTCTATTTATAACAAGATATAAATTGTTTTGCGTTATCAATGACATCTTTTAAAAAAATTTAATTAAAGTTAAGTTTTATGCATATCTTATATATTCTTATATGTACTTACTAAAGCTTATTTTTAATAATTCCTACAATAATAAAAAACTGATATAAGTATAAAAAGACAGAAAATAAAATCAGACACTGAAGCTGATTTCAAACGAAACAATTCTCTATATAATTTCTCATGGAATTTTACTGAAAAAATCATACAAAACACTTTACTTTACCCTAAGAATGATTTTAGCAGACAAGAATCTAAGGAAACATTCATTGCATATGCGCATAGTAGAAATTATCTTTCAAACCTTAGCATGTACATTGATTATTTTACAAGGTAAAAAAGAATTAGAAAATTTAAAAGATATACCTGATTCATATTTCCACCAGACAATCAGTGTTATTCCAGAGATCAAAGATAAAACAGAGACTAGATACACAAAATGTAAAAGTTGACAAGTGCAATGTATTCTTTTATCTAAGGCCAGAGGAGCAGATTGCACAGAATCAACTTCAGGAAAAAATAAAAGATTAAGTAAAAATGTTTTACAATAAAATATTTAAGTTGCCAATTCCTCAGAAATAAATATATGAGATGATGTCTCACCTTTTTCTTCCATCTAGTAAATTTTGACAGTTAATCTTACTATATAAATTAATATTAGAATTATCTCAAAAACTTCAGAGAATATTAATGTGTCTGTACTCTATTGATATCTAGGAAGTAAACCAAAGCACTGGAAGCACATGAAAAATGACAAGTGAATGTGATGCATTTCCTCTTGTGGTCAAGAGAAAGAAGGATATAAAATGTCAAGCAATAAAATTACATACAGTACACAGATAAAAGAACAATAGTACAAATTCCTAAAATATTAAATAGACATGTACATGTATAATTATCTCAGAGTTCAGAGAATCCTGTGTTCCATGAATATCTTTTTAATGTACTTTATAAGATATATAAGATGCCTCCCACCTCAGCTTTTTCTAGTAAATACTTTTTATTTTTAATATTTTTTCTTGCATTTAAGCTGATTTTATTACAGTTCTATGAGTTGATCATCTATATTTTCTGTTCATTTGGAATGGATTTATGAATAACATCCAGACCAATATGTAGGCCTATATCATCTTGATAATGAACAATAACTATCTTCTAAACACTGTATAATTTTAACCAACCCAGACCTGACAAAAAATACTTACGTCACCCTTTTAAAAATTTAATTTCAGTTTTTCTTTTCATTCGTTATTGCCTTGCTTTATCCAATTGTTTGTTTTGGTGATTTGGAGATAAGGTCCCTAAAATATGTTATTGGTAGAAACCACAAAACACAAAAAGACATATTTTTTTAGCTATTCGTAAGGTTATTAATACTATTTTGGAACATGGACAAGAAAATTAATATTTCAGAGAAGCCCTTTACTGAATCCTTACGTCCTGGATTTGAATTTTAGGTCATAAAATTTATACTATAACTAAGACATAATATAACTCTTTATATTATATCTTTATCTTATTATTGCAAAAATAAACTGACCTGTTTTTTCCTTTATCTTGGTTTTAAAAGATTCTACTTTAAAGATTCTTTCAAAGATAAACTTAATTATTTAGCACATTTTTTCAAATTTTAAGTTTTGGCTGGTAAAAGGCTGTGTGTTGGAATACTGCGTAAAAGAATAGATATTTTCCCTATGTGCTTGTGGCATGGTTAGTTTCTTCTATGTATTCTGTATGAACCATCATCCCATGAATTCAATCGTTTCATCAACTTTCGTTCCTCATGATTAACGTTTTTCCCAGTTTGGAAGGAACAGATAAACAACTATTATGATCACCTATTCAGAAAAATGGATGATAAAAAGGTGGGAGCTGTGCTCAGAAATTAGTACTGAGTTCATCCTTAACAAAAAACATTTTCAGCAAAAGATCAACTTTTCATTAATATGATTTGTTTTTGAACAAGGAATAGTTAACATCTAAAAATAAAAAAAAAGATCAATTTAATATCAATATAGTGCTTTAAAAAAGGAAGAAAGTTTACAAATATTAATTTTTATTTTTCATTTAACTTTGTATTGTGTGATTTACACCAACCAAAATTAGCCAATATAAATATTATATTATATAAATATTTATATTTAAAATATTCGTAGAAGTTCAAACATTTGATGTTCGTATCGTCTTTCAACCAAGTCAAGGATTATCTAATCATTGTGTTACACATAATGATGTCAACAAATAAGTACCTACCTACAACTTCTTTTTTTGCCAGTACCATTTGTGGCCCATCACTCTTCAATGTGGTTATTAAATAAAACTTGCTTGCAATTCAAATGAATATATCTTCATCTCCATTAAATACAACACAGTTACAATACAGTTCATCAATTTAAAGCTTTCTGATAAAATATTGTCAATTAGCAATAAACTATTATCAATCAGCAACAACTGACAAATAAAAATTTTACCACTCCAACTTAACAGATCTTTTAACATTGCAATTTAGTTATATTTTAAACAAATTTTCCCAACCCAAATTTTTTTAGGTGTGATAGGATGGCAAAAAATGAGAACATTTGCAGCTTTCCAGGTGTTTTAATCAGACATCTGACACATTACTTATCCCATTTGAATAAATTTGAGCAAACATTTCAATGAAAAAATTTGAAGATAATTTTGATGAAATCTTATTTTCCATTTTCTCAATGAAAATAAGTGGCAATTAATTCTAAAATATGGCAAAGAATTGGCATTAATCGCAAAATATGGCATTTTCGGAAAGGAACCAGTAAGGTTTAAGATAGTGGTAGAAAACCAGGTTCTGAATCAAGTAAGCAATTTTAACTATCTAGGAAATTATGTTTCATACAACTACGGCAGAGACATAGAATAAAAAACTCTCGCAGTTCCAGCTAATGTAATCTGCCGCCAGCTGCCTGGAGTTCAGCCACGAAACTCTACCACCTTCTAGATCAGAGGTTGGAATTGGCCGATAGGCCACTCCTTCCCTTCATTGACGGCACCTTAAAAATGCTTGCTTAAACTGCGCGGTGCATTGTGACGTATTTCGGACGATCACATTATCCCAGCACTGTTCGTCAGTCTGCCGCCGAAACCCCAACGTCGGCAATCTGCCGCCAGCTGCCTGAGTTTTCAGGCCACGAACTCTGCCACCTTCTAGATGCCAGAGGTGGGAATTTTTGCGATAGGCCCACTCCTTCCTTCATTGGACGCTTTAAAAATGCTTGCCTTAAACTTGCGCGGTGATTGTGACGTATTTCGGACGATCATATTATCCAGCACTGTCGTCAGTCTCACGCCAACCCCAAGTCGGCAATCTGCCGCCAAGCTGCCTGAGTTCAGCACGGAACTCTGCCACCTTCTAGATGCAGAGTGGAATTTGCGATAGGCCACTCCTTCCTTCATTGACGCTAAAATGCTTGCATTAACTGCGCGGTGTGATTGCTGACGTATTTCGGCACGATCATATTATCCAGCACTGTCGTCACCCTGGTCTGCCGCCAACCCCAAGTTCGCGCAATCTGCCGCCAGCTGCCTGAGTTCAGCCACGAACTCTGCCACCTTCTAAGCATGCAGAGGTGGAATTTGCGATAGGCCACTCCTTCCTTCAAATGACGGCTTAAAATTGCTTGCTTACAACTGCGCGGTGATTGTGACGTATTCGGGGAACGATCATTATTATCCAGCACTGTCGTCAGTCTGCCGCCACCCAAGTCGCAATCTGGCCGCCAGCTGGCCTGAGTTCAGTCCACGAACTCCTGCCACCTTCTAGATTGCCAGAGTGGAAGTTTGCGATAGGGCCTCCGTTCCTTCATTGAACTGCTTAAGAATGCTGCTTAAAACTTGCGGGGTGATTGTTGACAGTAGTTCGGACGATTAATCATTATCCAGCACTGTCGTCAGGTTCTGCCGCCAACCCAAGTCGGCAGTCTGCCGCCCAGCTGCCTGAGTTCAGTCTACGAACTCTGGCCATCCTTCTAGATCTAGTAGGTGGAATTTGCGATTAGGCCACTCACTCCTTCATTGACGTCTTTAAAAATGCTTGCTTAACTGCGCGGTGGATGGTGACGTATTCGGACGATCAAATATTATCCAGCACTGTCGTCAGTCTGCCGCCAACCCCAAGTCGGCAATCTGCCGCCAGCTGCCTTGAGTTCAGCCACGAAACTCTGCCACCTTCTAGATGCAAGAGGTGGAATTTGCGATAGGCCACTCCTTCCTTCATTGACGCCTTAAAATGCTTGCTTAACTGCGCGGTGATTGTGACGTATTCGGACGATCAATTATTCCAGCACTGTCGTCAGTCTGCCGCCAACCCCAAGTCGCGCAATCTGCCGCCAGCTGCCTGAGTCAGCCACGAACTCTGCCACCTTCTAGATGCAGAGGTGGAATTTGCGATTAGGCCACTCCTTCCTTCATTGACGTGCCTTAAAATGCTTGCTTAACTGCGCGGTGATTGTGACGTATTCGGACGATCATATTATCCAGCACTGTCGTCAGTCTGCCCGCCAACCCCAAGTCGGCAATCTGCCGCCAGCTGCCTGAGTTCAGCCACGAACTCTGCCACCTTCTAGATGCCAGAGGTGGAATTTGCGATAGGCCACTCCTTCCTTCATTGACGGCTTAAAATGCTTGCTTAACTGCGCGCGGTGATTGTGACGTATTCGGACGATCAGTATTATCAGCACTGTCGTCAGTCTGCCGCCAGACCCCAAGTCGGCAATCTGCCGCCAGCTGCCTGAGTTCAGGCACCACGAACTCTGCCACCTTCTAGATGCAGAGGTGGAATTTGCGATAGGCCACTCCTTCCTTCATTGACGGCTTAAAATGCTTTGGCTTAACTGCGCGGTGATTGTGACGTATTCGGACGATCATATTATTCCAGCACTGTCGTCAGTCTGCCGCCAACCCCAAGTCGGCAATCTGCCGCCAGCTGCCTGAGTTCAGCCACGAACTCTGCCACCTTCTTAGATGCAGAGGTGGAATTTGCGATAGGCCACTCCTTCCTTCATTGACGGCCTTAAAATGCTTGCTTAACTGCGCGGTGATTGTGACATATTCCGGACGATCATATTATCCAGCACTTGTCGTCAGTCTGCTGCCAACCAATCCTTCCCCTCCTCTTTTTTTT